CACCAAATTTTATACAAAGTTATACAGTTATACATATCAAATTTATAACTCCCTTTAAACATCTCAAGCGCCTAGTTCTAATCCTAAATACTAACTCTAAATACTAATACTAACGTGAAAATTTTTGGTTTAAAAGTTTTATACACAAAACTTAGAAAATTCTATAAAACACGATGAAAACATATGGTAGGTGATTTTTATAATTAATGTTTTTTTTCATTCTTTAATTATAATAAATCGTTCCAGCTTAATAACTAATTCTTCAACATTTGGTCTGTTATCGGGTTCAGTGCCTCAGTCTAAGATCAATCCATAGTAATGAATTATTGTGTGTTATTGTAAATTGGTTTGAAACCTCCAAATAAAAGAATTCATTTGTAACGGGAATAGAATTATAATATAACTATGCGGCTAAATAGAATAATGACTAAACAACTAACTACATATCTATACGTACGTACTTGCGCAATATTTGTGTAATGTATTAGTGTTTTTTTTTAGTAGTTAATTGCACGAATTCTATATATAATTTTCTCGATCTGGTGTATTGTTTAATACATCTTTAGAGTACGTAAATAAAACTAATTGATGAACCATACACGTTCCTGTACACTTCAAGTAACAATTTATATTATCTATTCAAAAATTTCCAAATTACATTATTAAATATTTTTGTAAAACTACCGTTTCGCTTTAACAATATTAATGAAATAATAAGGATATAAATCAATAAATTATAGACTTTTGATCTTTTAGCAATAGGTTTAAAACTATTTTTGTTATAAAGCAGAATAGCTTCTCTTGCACCTTCCCAAGAATTCCTTCCTAGTAGCCGATACTATTAAAAAAAATATGATATATTTAATACACAAGTAAAATAAAATGTAAAATAAAACAACATTTTTGTTAGTTTAATAAAAGAAATTACGTACTTGAACAGGAGTAGCTATTCCGAACATAATTAATTTCCAAAAACTAAAGCCAAACTTTTTAATTATCTCATAAGAATAAGGATAACATCCAACATCTTTGCTCAATGAATCCAAATAAGATAGATAATTTTGACGAATAGCGCTACGAGCATGTTTGCAAGAATTTTTACGAATAGCTTCATAATTATTACGTATAGATTTTTCCATTTCATATTGAGATGGGAGTGGCTTGATAAATCCTTTAATATGACCGATTATGTGACGGGCTTGCATTTCACTTTATAAAAGAATTTATTTATAGTAATACTGTATAAAAAAAACAAATTAAAACATTTTTAAATTCAGAGCTTACCTGATCGGCAAAATAGGAGCACCTAATGACAATCCAAGGAAAGCAATATTAGGATACTTTGGAGGATAAATTGATTTATACAACCAAACTAAATTATAAAAATCATTTCTAAACTCTTGAATAATTTCATCCCCACCAGTAAAAACCTGGTTATCTAAGAAAGAAAAATCAATATCAAAACCAGTAGCATAAATAACAACATCAATATTCTCCAAGACAGTCCCATCAATAAATTCGATTTGATTATTTTCAGATTTAAGTTCTTTAATATCTGGTTTCACAATAACTGTACCAGCCGCAAGGTATTGAAAAATTTCAAAATTTATAATAGGAAGTGTAGCAATTATAGGGTCATTAGGTTCGAGATGAGGAGGATAAGTAAAGGATTTAATTATATAATTTTCAATTATTTTTCCTCTAATAAAGGGTGGAATTATATATTGCGTGAAACGAGATGGACTATGGTCGTACGCTTTACCATTTATGAAGCGTGGTAATATCCATGGAAGTTTTTCTGTAAAACAAAAATAGATATATATATATAATTACAGTATAAAGACCTAAAATAAATATGAATGCAAAATTTACCTCTGCGAGTACTTATATAAACTTGGGACGCTGCATGAGTTAATTCAACCACGACGTCCAATGCACTAAATTAATTATATAGTGTGAATAAGATTTTGATAAGAAATTTACCATTACGTAACTTTGTTTGTATTCATACCTATTAGAGCAACCAACCACCAAAACACGTTTATTTTCAAAATCTGTAGCTCTAAAAATATGATATTAGTTATAATGCTGATAATATATACATATCAGATATATATATATATATATATACATATATATATATATATATATATATATATATATATATATATAGAATAAGTACAAATAAACACACCGTTTATACATATAAGAATGTATTTGTTCACCCTTAAATAAGTTCATTCCTTTAAATTCAGGCCATCTAGGTTTGCGATGTTTCCCGGTGCAAACCATTACGAAATCAAAAATTTCCTCTTTTTCTTCATTTTCACATTGAATAATGTATTTAACATTCCAACGTTTATCGGGAAGTATTGATATCTTTAACACAGTAGTATTAAATTTAATGTGAGGCAAAAGATTAAAATTTTCAGCGTACATGTCAATGTACCTATTTTCGACAAAAAATAAAAAAAAAACATCAAAAATTGCCAGTTAAAAAAGTTTACATAAGTTTACTGAAAAAGATTACTTTTCTACTTGTGAATGATTCAAATAAGTTGGCCAGTCTACCGGAATCGGAAAATCAGAAAACGTTGTCTATTTTCAGATTCAACAATAAATTAAATATATTACTTATAGATTCTACACGTAAGGATTAAATTAATACTAACAAGTTCCTTAGATGTATTTGTTAAAATGCCTTTATAAACAGAAGAATAAGGATCTTTGTTTTTTTCGTAAGTATCTTCATATTTCCATATTCCACCGATAAAAGAATATTGTTCAAAACAAATTGGAATCAAGTCATTATCTAGACATTGTTTTATTGCTGTTAAACCTGAGATCCCTGATAATAAATATTATTAAATCTTTTATCTTGAAAATATTAAATCTTTTATCTTGAAAATATTAAATTTTTTTAATGTTCAAAATACTTTTAAAAATTTTAGAAATATCTTGCTTACCTGCGCCTATAATCGCAATACGTTTAGCCATAATGACTTTTTTTCCATTTACCTTTACGTACGACTTAAAAATTTATATCAATACGGGGCAATTTTTTTTAATCCTGCATAATTAACTATGTATCAAAGAAAATCATTTACAGATTTAAACTGATGATGCATTAACGTTAAACTACTTATAATAAATCAATATTACGTACCGGTATGTACGTATTGGGTAAATTTGGTGATTTATTATCCATAACGTTTTAATACCGATACGTGGCGTTTACTAATTCTGGGATTTTTTATTCGGCCAATCAGGACGTACGTACTAACAAAAAAAATTTTTTTTCTTGCAAGATACTGAACTAATATCATTAAGAAAGATAACATGCAAATTAGCAAAAAAAAACCCCCTGTAGTTTCACCAAAAAAAATAACTCATAACTAATCTATACGAATAGCAAGTTTCAAAATTAAGAAACTTTTAAACATTATGTTTGTTAATATAAATGTCAAAGTGGAATAATGTCAAAGTGGAATAGAAATATCTGAAAGCTTCATTACGATGCATTTGTGTAATTTGAGTATTTACTATTTTTTTTTCTTGACGGTTCTTATTGTAAAGTCATATGAATAACGTCTAACTCATCTTTCCACAGGAAGATGGGTTAGACGTTATCTATATGATTTTACACTCAGAACCGTTAAGAAAAAAAATAGGAAATGACGCACTTCATAGTCTAGTCAAAAATTAACCGTAATGTCTTTCAAGAAAATACTTTAACATGTTTAAAATTCATCTGATTCACATGCGATATGTAAAGCAGTGATTTACTTGTACTTATTGTTCAAAAATGCAAGTCTTAAATTTTTAGTAAGACAATATAACTACCTAATTAAATAATTTCAAAAAAACCGTCTACATTTTCATCAAAATAATAACTCTGACAACACAGCGTTAAAATTCGTTGTGTATGTATTGTTATCTGCACAAAAATTAACAATTACTGTAATTACTATGCAATATGCACAGAAAATAAAATAACGTTCCTGTATATAAAATTTTTTTTGCACAGCATATTTGTGTGGAATTTTTAACAATGATAACACACATGATTAGTTTATTATAATTAAAAAAAAATTTATTTGATTTATTGAGTAAAAGAAAACAAAACTGACAAAGTTTGTTAAACTAATGATAAAACTATCAGTTGTATATCTGAGGCTACGTGTAATGTTATAGGGTCTGTGGCTTCAGTAGTTATATACAGAGAACTTAGAAGTATGAACATAGTGGCAGTGTAAGGTCCTTAGACTAAGTGAAATGATGCCTTAAGCTTCGCGGTTGTAATGGCAGTGCAAAGATTTGTTAAAATTGGGTAGTGTGTGTTTAGATGCATAGCCTCATTATAAAATTATTTAATTTACCTGAATAGTAAAGCAAAACTATTTCTCATATACTTTTTTTCATTACAGAAAATAAAGTCTGACTGAACATCAGTAAAAATGTTAACCCATACAAAGATGAAAATCACCTTCAGACATTTCCGATTGGGTTAATTCGGATAAAATAAACCCGATTACCGGTTCATACATTATTCATCTTTTACCTTCATTGATTTAATAAACAATATTAACATATAAACATGAACCGGTACTCGGGTTTATTTTGTCCGAATTAACCCGATCGGAAATATCGGAAGGTAATTTTCAAGGCAAAAACCCAAATGTTAATAGATTTGATATAAACCTGCAATTGTAAGTTTTCCGTAATCAATTTTATAGAAACGACTTATCAGACACATGATTCATTAAATAGAATTTATTATAGAATTTATTATAATTCATCAGGAATCTGATCACTGTTTCTGAAAGCGGAGCCAGCAAAAACCGAAATTACAGGTTTTCGCTTTGCAGCACTCATATGATACTAATAAATTGACAAAGCCATACAATAAAATAAGGAACTTTTTTGTTGACAAATAGTGATAATGATAAAATATTAGTATATAGATTAGAAAGTTCAGAATCTAATAATTTAGACAAATGGCAATCATCATCAAAGAAAGCTTTTTTCAATAATTCTTGATCATTTGCAAGTGAGGTGCCTGCTTCTTTACCAGCAATAATTTGTGAAATTGAACGATAAGAGTTGTACTTTGCAGTAAAATTTCCTGGTGCTACTAAAGTTACCTGAAAGTTGAAAAAATAGTTGATTAGAGAAACTTATAAAAATAAAATAAACAAAATAATAAATAATATATGAAGAATTTGTTACATTGTATCCACGATTCACCAAAATCTTCAAGATTTCAGACATCGGAATAAGATGACTTTCACCTGCAGTTTGTTAATATTAATAATTGTAATTATGATAGCAACAAAAAATAAATAATTTATTTACCGCCAATAGAGGAAGTAGCAAGTATATTTTTAGGTACATTGATCCTGTCTAACAATGAATCATGTTGAATAAATTTAGGTGCACCCTGAGCCTCAACAATAAAATGTACGAAAATGAAAAATATAGTTAAATGCCAAAAAGTAAATAATAAAAATGAATGTTTTGAAAACATCCTTATTCTTATAATAAAAAACTATAAAATTTTTTTTTTAAATCATTGCTCGAGAGTGAAGCATTCATTTTATAATAAACCGTAGATTTTTATTCATACTGTATAATTATAAACATAAATATATACAAGCGCTGTCACCAACACGTTTAATATAATTTGTATTTTAAAAAATTGAATTTGACAGCAAAATATTTTGCATCACATGAAAAATTTAAATTCATGTACGTACAGTCATACCTGGGTTATACCCCCACCGGGTTATATAATTATATATCCGGGCTATATCTCACTGAGTTATATTCTACATTAGTTATATCCACATATTTGAGCAGAATAAGTTTTTTTTTTTTTTTATGTTTTATATATTGAACTTTATCCGACATTTCATATGATCATGTGAATTTTTTTGCCATGATATTTTTTGCATGAAATTACGTAGCCAGTTT